TTTTATTTTCATTATTTATTTGTTTGTGAACTAAGGATTTAATTAGGACCAGCCGTGATGGTGCATACTTGTAATCCCAGTACTTGAGAGGCTAAGGCAGGAGGATTGCCAGTTTGAGACCAGTCTGAACTACATAGCAATTTCTAGGCTAGCCTAGTATAGAAAAATCACCAAAAGAAAAAAGGAGTGTGAAGAGTCAGCAAAATGTTAGACAAAAATAGCCTCGTGATTGCCAGCTGTGCCTTTTAACACTTGTTTAATTAAAATTTATTCTAATTAAAATTAGTATATTTAAATTTCACTTAATATACAGAGTCCAGTTGAAATTTTTTTCTTTGTTATAACATACCATTTGCAATACTACCCTAAAATAATACACTCTAGTAGTAAACCAAAGGAAAATTACAAAGTATCTCTGAGATAAACTAGATAGCAAACAAAGACTCCAAGTTCTTGGTTTAGAAGTCTCAGTAGCCTCAGAGTGTGAGTATTTCACCAAAGGGCTGTTACCCCAATCATACTCCTAGCAGGCTCCATGTAAATGCACTTGTGTGAAAACTGGCATGCCAACCCTAAAAGTATATAGAAATATAACTAAGATAATTTTGAAGAAAAAATAAACTGCCATAATTGTGTCACTGATGTAAGGATAAAGTATGTATCATGATAATATTCCAGAAATAAACTCAGTTGGAGTCACTGGCTAATGAAAAAGGCTCCATTGGGACTGGGAATGTAGTTTATAGTGGTAGAATGCTTGCCTAAGGTGTGTGAAACACTGGCTTCAAGTCCTCAACACCATGAAAGGAAAGAAAAACCCCAGTGAAATTCAGGTAGGAGACACACTTTCTAAATACACAGTGCTGGAGCACCGTATGGGAGAAAGTCAACCTTTGTTCTTACCTCATATGGGCCTGGAAAGATGGCTCACTAGTTAAGAGCATTTACTGATCTTCCAGAGGACCTGGGTGTAATTCCCAGCACTACATAGAGGCTCACAACCACTTGTAACTTCAGTTCCAGGGGATCTGATGTGGTATACACATATATTAGGCAAAATACCTATATATACAATGGATAAGTAAACTGTAGAGAACTGGGAAGTAGTGGCCTTTAATACCAGCACTCAGGAGGCAGAGGCTGGCAGATCTCTGAGTTCAAGGCCAGCCTGGTCTATAGAGTTTCAGGACAGCCAGGGCTACAGAGAGAAACCCTGTCCCACAGAAAAACCAAAAATAAACTGTTGAACACTCATACAATAAAATGTTATATAGTATTCAAAAAGAAATTGCTGATACCTCCAACTACATGGAAGACTCATAGATAGTGAAAAAAGCCAAAAAAGCTTAGTGGCTTCATTAATAGGAAGTGCATATGCAGGCAGATGGTCTAGGGAGGAACTGACTAGGAAAAGGCACAAGGAGAACATTTAGGGTAACCATGTTTTACACCTGGACCAGAATTGAGTCCATAGATGTACATTCAAGATTCATGGCAAGATGGCTCATTAGATAAAAGTACTTGCCCGCCAAGTTCAATTGCAGAGCCTGCATAACTGGAAGGAGGGAGAACCAACTCCCACAAATTGTTCTCTGACTTCCACTTGCATGCTGTGCTGTGTAAACACACAAATATACACATATAAAATAAATATAAATTAAAATTTTTAAAATTTGAATTTTACTAGGTTTGTAGTTCTATCTAAGCTATATAGACTTAGAGGTACAGCTGACTTTAAAAAAATAGCTCAAGTGTATCAAATTGTTCATATAAAATACTTCAATGTCTCTAGTGTTGTATTAACCTCTTAGTATACAATACAGCTCAGTCTTCAAAATAACGTGCTAATGGTCCTATGTGGTAGATACTGTTATCATGCCCATCCTGCAGATATGTAACTAGTAGGTTTACTTAGGACCAAATACTTCAAAATGTCTTTGAATAGCATAAAAAATATCAACTGCAAGGAAACATTGTATATCAACACTTGTTTCAACTTCAAAAGGACTTTTTTCAGACTGCTTATTAACACATTGTATCAAAACACAAATACAGGGCCCTTCCATAGCTCAGCCAATAAAGATCACTGTGACCAGACATCATCTTTTGGGTCCATCCCTGGGACCTACATGGTGGAAGGAGAGAACCAACTTCCTCAAGTTGTCCTCTCACTTCCAAATGTGCAGTGACATCTTGTCTGTACATTACATATGCACACACATTGGGGTAAAACTATATGCACACATATACTATGTAGCTCTGGCTGTTCTTGAAATCAGATTCACCTGCTTCTGTCTCCTGATTGCTGTGGTCAAAGGTGTGTACCATTACTTCTGGCTAATAAATAATTTTTTAGAAAAGGGATAGGTGATATTGTTTCTGTGATGTTAATGGAGGCTACTTTATGTTTTTCTAAGTATTTTGTTTATTTTTTGAGGTAGAGTTTTTCTGTTTGCTCTGGCTGTCCTAGAATGCACTCTGTAGACCCAGGCTGGCCTCAGACTCACACATCCACCTCTATCTGCCTCCCAAGTACTGGGATTAAAGGTGTACACCACCACGCCCAGCTGCTTTTCTAAGTCATAGTTCATTTTGTGCTGCTATAACGTAACATCTAAGACTAGGTGAGTGGAAATTTATTTCCCATATATGGAGGCTGGGATGGTCGAGATAAAGAGCGGTTGGGTAGTCTGGTGAGGGCCTCATGCTGCAGAGCAGCAGAATGCTGCTGTTCTTTCTAGAAGGCAGAAGAGCAGGATAGCCCACTACTGCTAAGAGTTGAGTCTCTTTCATAAGAGCTGGAATTTGGATGAGACAGGTAGGCGCCCTAGCTGCCGTGGTAAATAACACCTGACTTTTGGAGAGGCATTATGGCATTGCACCCTCTCACTTTGTGGGAGTTGTAATTTGGCCTGCATCACAACATAAAGTTGTATAGTGAGAAGCTCATTAACAGATTTTTGGTGTGCTTAATTGTAGTGGATAATTATTTGGCTAGCATTCTACCCTAATATTGCCAGGTATACTTACTGGTTCTAGCACAGTAATTCTAAATATCTTTAGCAAAAATTTCCTTTTAGGTTCCATGAAACCATTATCAGTAGGATTAAAATTAGGAAAAGGAGATTGGGGGAAAACTGGTAAAGGTTGGACTTGTCAGAAGAACCTAACTTTGTAGAGGTTGCAAACCCTCCTGAGCTGGTAACCCTGAGTAGCTGGTAACTGAAGCTTCAGTGCCCACAATCTCAAGTCAGGGAGGTACTTGGGTGGTTTCCAAATGCTAGTTTTTCTGCTCTTGCTTTCCCATAATGGTTTACTTCAGGAATATATACAGACACACAGTATACACACATATCTTTATATAGCATGCTAAAAAGCATATTTATTATATACAGCATTATACTTATATGCTTAGCGTGTTTAGTAAAGCTTCATGTGTATCCTGCCATCCAATACCTTTCCCAAAGGAAAGCAATATACAGCTGTCTGTATTTGTTTGTTTGCTTGCTTGTTTTTTTTGGGACAGGGTTTCTCTGTAGCTTTGGGGGCTGTTCTGGAACTTGCTCTGTAGACCAGGCTGGCCTTGAAATCACAGAGATCTGCCTGCCTCTGCCTCCCAAGTGCGATACTACCACCTGGCCAGCTGTCTGTATTTTATGGACCAGTGTTTGTTCATTCTTGTTGCTGTAGCTCAGGTAATCTTAGGGCAGTGTTCTCAACCTTCCTAATGCTGAGACCCTTTAGTACAGTTCCTCATGTTGTGGGGACCCCCAACCTTAACATTTTCATTGCTTCTTCATACTTTGCTACTGTTCTGAATTGTAATGTAAATATATATATTTTTAAAATTTATTATATATATATAGTGCTCTGCCTACATGTATGCCTGCAGGCCAGAAAAGGGTACCAGATCTCATTACAGATGGTTGTGAGCCACCATGTGGTTGCTGGGAATTGAACTCAGGTCCTTTGGAAGAGCAGCCAGTGCTCTTAACCTCTGAGCCATCTCTCCAGCCCTAATGTAAATATTTTTGGAGATAAATTTTTTTTTTTAAAGATTTTATTCTGTATACAACATTCTGCTTCCATGTATATCTGCACACCAGAAGAGGGCACCAGATCTGATAATGGATGTTTGTGAGCCCCCATGTGGTTGCTGGGAATTGAACTCAGGACCTCTGGAAGAGCAGTTGGTGCTCTTAACCCCTGAGCCATCTCTCCAGCCCCAGAGATAAATCTTTTTTGGTTGTAAATCTGTATGTGCACCTTCTACCTTGAGACAGGTTACTTTGTTGTTAGATGCTGTGTACACCTGACTAGCTGCTCCATAAGCTGGGGATTCTCCTGTCTACCTCCAATCTCACAGTAGTAACATCGGGATAGTAGACACTTGCCACTCTTGGAACTGAATGTGTTCTGCACATTTTGAACTCAGGCCCCCCTTCATGTTTTCACAGCAGCAAGTACTTTCCCCACTGCACCATCTTCTCAGCAGAGAGAGAGAGAGAGAGAGAGAGAGAGAGAGAGAGAGAGAGAGAGAGAGTGTGTGTGTGTGTGTGTGTGTGTGTGTGTGTGTGTGTGTGTGTGTGTGTTAAGGTGATTTCTCTGTGTAGCCTTGGCTATCCTGGAGCTCACTTTGTAGACCAGGCTGGTCTAGAACTCAACTCACAGACATCTGCCTGCCCCTGCCTCCCAAGTGATGGGATCAGAGGCGTGTACCACCACACCTGGCCCCAGCCCCTCTTGTGTTTTTTGAAGTGTATTGTTGCCAGTAGAGAATAGTCTTTAGATTTAAAGAAATTCAGAAATAAAAGTAACAATTTTATTAATTTCATACTAGTATAAAATGCTTTGCTGAAATTGTTTTTATTTCTACCCAGACTGATACTTTATTAATATTTGGGAGAGTGGAGTTTCAATTAGTGTCTGTGAATATACCCTTTTAAACATGTCAGGGCCTGTGAGCCCATTGTCTGACTGACTGTTCTTTCTGTGTGCAGGTATGTCATTGATGGTGCCACTGCTCTTTGGTGTGCTGCAGGAGCTGGACATTTTGAAGTTGTTAAACTTCTTGTCAGCCATGGAGCCAACGTGAACCACACCACAGTCACTAACTCAACCCCACTTCGGGCAGCATGCTTTGATGGCAGACTGGACATAGTGAAATATTTGGTCGAAAATAATGCCAATATCAGCATTGCCAACAAGTATGACAACACCTGCCTAATGATCGCAGCATATAAGGGGCACACTGATGTGGTCAGATACCTTTTAGAACAGCGTGCTGATCCCAATGCTAAAGCACACTGTGGAGCCACAGCATTGCACTTTGCAGCTGAAGCTGGTCACATTGACATTGTGAAAGAGCTGATAAAATGGCGAGCTGCAATAGTGGTGAATGGCCATGGGATGACACCGTTGAAGGTAGCTGCCGAAAGCTGTAAAGCTGATGTTGTTGAACTGTTGCTCTCTCATGCTGATTGTGACCGCAGAAGTCGGATTGAAGCCTTGGAGCTTTTGGGTGCCTCCTTTGCAAATGACCGTGAGAACTATGACATCATGAAGACATACCACTATTTATATTTAGCCATGTTGGAGAGGTTTCAAGATGGTGACAACATTCTTGAAAAAGAGGTTCTCCCACCCATCCACGCTTATGGGAACAGAACTGAGTGTAGGAACCCCCAGGAACTGGAGTCCATTCGGCAAGACAGAGATGCTCTTCACATGGAGGGCCTGATAGTGAGGGAGCGGATTTTAGGTGCTGACAACATTGACGTTTCCCACCCTATCATTTACAGAGGGGCTGTCTATGCTGACAACATGGAGTTCGAGCAGTGCATCAAGTTGTGGCTTCACGCTCTACACCTCAGGCAGAAAGGTAATAGGAACACCCACAAGGATCTGCTTCGATTTGCTCAAGTCTTCTCACAGATGATACACCTCAATGAAGCTGTGAAGGCCCCAGACATAGAATGTGTTCTGAGATGCAGTGTTTTGGAAATAGAGCAGAGCATGAACAGAGTTAAAAATATCTCCGATGCTGATGTCCACAGTGCCATGGACAACTACGAGTGTAACCTCTATACTTTTCTGTACCTGGTGTGCATCTCCACCAAGACACAGTGTAGTGAAGAAGACCAGTGCAGAATTAACAAGCAGATCTACAACCTGATTCACCTGGACCCCAGAACACGGGAAGGTTTCACCTTGCTACACCTGGCTGTCAACTCAAACACACCAGTTGATGATTTCCACACCAATGACGTCTGCAGCTTTCCCAACGCACTGGTCACGAAGCTCCTTCTGGACTGTGGTGCTGAGGTGAATGCCGTGGACAATGAAGGGAACAGTGCCCTCCACATCATCGTCCAGTACAACAGGCCCATCAGTGACTTTCTGACCTTGCACTCCATCATCATCAGCCTTGTGGAGGCCGGCGCTCACACTGACATGACAAACAAGCAGAATAAGACTCCACTAGACAAAAGTACGACTGGGGTGTCTGAAATACTACTTAAAACTCAGATGAAGATGAGCCTCAAGTGCCTGGCTGCCCGAGCAGTTCGGGCTAATGACATTAACTACCAAGACCAGATCCCCCGGACTCTGGAAGAGTTTGTTGGATTTCATTAAGTGACTGGATGTGTAAAATCGTTTAATGTGGTGCTAAAAAGTAAAGGACTTTAATCACAGACAATAGAAGTATGTGTTCATAAATTGTCCTTTTCTTTCCACTACCCTTTCAGCCTATCCGTCCTTGGTTCCGTTTGGCTCTTGTCTCATGTATTGATTTCAGCACACTAAACAGAAGCAGCACTGTTGAGGTGTAACTGGAAGGTGTTTGGACATTTCTTTGTTTCTTTTTCTTTTTTTTTAAGGAATGAATGTAAGATATTTTGTGTAATAGGGGGCATTTGTGATTTAAAATTGATGTTTTAAACAGCTGCCTACAAAAGTATTTCTGTTAAGCTGGTGTCAGCATGTCATCTGTGCAGCAGTTTTGAGGATTTCATGAAGAAAATGAACTAAAAAGGAACACTGAGAGCAATGGGAGATGCTCGTGCTCTGCGTGGATGGTTCTCACTCTCACTGTGCGTGCAGAGTGATACAGCACATTTTATACCAGGAGGACTTGAAACACGTAGCTACTGATTAATAATCTGGAAATTATGTGCAGTTATTGTTGGAAAGTTGAATTCATGAAAATAATTGCATTATTCTGGGTAGTGTCTTCTAACTGGCAATCTTAGCTCAACCTTGTGGACATTGCTAGACTCTATCCTTAGGCTTGAGTTCTTCTGGTCTCTGTTTTAATGATGGATCTAAATTGCAGTCATGCATTTGATTTTTGGCTCACAGACCTAAATAAGCTGTATTATGAAACATTGTCATAGTATAGCTAGATATTCTACTTTTTCCCTTTTTAGCCCTTTCCTCTTGTTTTGTATCTTTAAAATTTGGAAACTGCCTTTCCAGAGGGCATTTATTTCTGTATCCCTGTTAGGTGTAAGATGAACAAAGACACACTTCTGTCGTTTTTTACTTAGTCCATTGTGAGATGTAGGAAAACCAGGAGTTAGGGTATAGGAAATGAAGTATTCGATGAGGAAAATGATTCTCAATGCCACATGGAAGGTATGTCTCAGAGCTGCAGACTTTTCTACCACAGAATGTGGTACTGAGGTCTTCGTTTTTTGCTTTCTTGTATCAGCAACATTTCAATTCTCGAGTATTCTGTGATTTTTCTCTTAAGCATCACAGAAATTCAAGTTAAGGAACACTTGCTTCTACTGATGCTGGGAATGATAATGAAAGTAAAACTAGTTGTTCCTGTAATTTTTCTCTAGTGCCAAATGAATGCCCGAGCTACCCCTAGTGCATGGTACCATAAGTGGAGACCCGCAGCTTCTTGTTTTCCTTTAGTGAAAAGCATTGCCATGATGCAACATCAGATATAAACTTTAAACAACCTGTAAGATTTCACAAACATTTTACCTGTGGATATTGCTTTTTAAAATATATGAGGAAGGTTGCAGTTGGAGCAGTATAAAAAACTACAAGCCAAAATCAGCACCTAGGGCCTTAACAGAGATATACCACAAAATGAAATACCTGGGAGGCTGAAGAGACTTGAAAAACTTCCTGCTCCAAGGGTGTGAGACACAGTTGCTGTAGTTGTGCTTTGTATGTGTTCTTGCTTCAGTTAGGAATGTTTAATGGTGAATTCTTTCATGGTAATATATTTCTATTTTCCTAACTTGAGAGTTTACAAGGAATGATGGTTTAAAGGGAGGTGTTGGAATGACCCCAATTTGGGAACTTCTGACCTTAACCCTCCTGACATGACTCAATCACTCATGTCTCACCTTGCTCTGGCAGCTCTCAGTGGCCTAGAAGAGATGACCCACTGCACAGGTGAGTCAGTCCTGCCTCTGCCCAGGTTCAGGTCAGGTTTTTCCTTTTTGGACTCTAAGGCCCAATATGGACAGTGAGGAATAGCTGTGACACTTAGTATTCAGTTGGTTCCGTTTTTTAATATGTGTGGTTTTTAAGCACCTAAACTTAAAATATCAGATAATGTTGCATGTTTTAAAAACATTTTTCCCCTTCGTTACCCAGGACCAACACTGTTCTAGACATTATTTATATATGAGGATAATGATAATATGTGCATATTCAGAGATAGAATTTGAGGACAGCTTTGAAGGGGGGAAGACAGTGCTGATGAAGGTTGAGCAAACTGAACTATGCTGGTAGTAAACTGGCTAGATTTATTTAAATTGTAGTTGCACATTGTGCACTCTAGCTGAGAGTCTAATTCTGTGTCTAACGTCACTCCAGATTTGCATTGGGGAACACCTGTATAAAGCCATTATTGGAAGAAGTGATCTTCATGCCTGGTTTTTCCATTATTTTGTTTTTGGTAGAATTCTTTAAAAATAAGCTCAGCCAAATGTTCCATAAACCTCTGTTTTTAAAGAAAAATGAATAGGTGTGGAAGGTGGTAGCTTTATAGCTAGCTCACTGGGCTGTCTCCTGCAGCCATGTCTGTCATTTGATGTTTGTTATTGGTAGAATTATGCTTTGAATTGTAACTCTTCCTTGGCAGTGTTAGTGATTTCCCAGAACACTTTGTCGTGTAAGTTGTCACATAAATTTGGTTGAGCCAGGAGTGCAGAAGGGTGCTTTCCACTTTTTATGTAGTTAGGAATTGAACACTTGGTGTCAGTGACTAACTCCAGTCTGGGCAGCAAACCCATCCCCTTACTTGCTGAAGAAGGGGCAACTGACTCTGACACCATGGCTTTTTACAGTTCATCCTGATTGCTCTCATAGCCAAAGGTTCTCCACTGTGGGAACTTTAAACATGCAAACCCAAAAGCGGCCAGCCCATCTGCCAAGCTTTGGTTTTGCTAGTTTCTGAGAAGGGTTTTGATCTCATTATACTAATAGTTGATAAATGGTGATTGTGAGGACTTAAGCATGGCAGCATTGTTTGACTGACATAAACTATAATTTGGGAGCAATGCCTCCCTAAAGGCAACACTGTATTAGACAATTGTTTCTGAAAATTCAAGTTCCAGAGAGCAGTTCTGTGTTAACAGCATTTTTCTTAGTTGAGGGAACTCCTTGAAATCAGGCTGCTTTGTATAATTCAAGCTGAAGAGCTTCCTTCTTGGAATAGGGCAGTCAGAGCAGAGTTGTCTGTCCTTTGCTGGTTGAGAAGTGGCCAGTGGCTGGACTCTGAGTAGGTGGATGAAAACGTCTGTGCTTGATTATGACAGTTACAAAAATCCGAAGTGTTCTTTATCAGCTATCTGGATGCCAGTGCTCTCAGTAGTGCACCCTTCTCACTGACAAGACTTCCTGCAACAGTAATAGGGAGGAGTAAAACCTTCAACTCTGCCTTTTGCTCTCTGATTTCAGTCCAGATTCTAAGCTGTGCCCACTCCCACTTTGAAAGTACACAGCTCCTTTCTGGATATCATCTGACAGCCCCTCACTATGTACATACACATAGGGGCTTCCTTAGACGTTTCCGGTAGACCTGCCCAAACTTTGAGATGGGACAGGACATACAACATCCCTTTCTCAACCCTGGGATCTGGAACAAATCCTCCAGTGACTGTGCTGATACATTGACTTTTACAGATGTAAAGTAAATGTGGTCTCTAGTCCTAGGCCTGTGGAGTGTACCTTTGTGTTAGTGTATTGGGAAGGAGCAGTGACTTGATGGTTCTGGGGACTATATCTTTGATGTGTGCAGGGGTGACTACTGTTAAATTACTGTCAGCTTTCCTTTAGAGGTGAATCATGGGATGAATGGCCTCATCAGAAAAATGAAGGCATGAGGATATAAGCCTGCAAGGTGAGGAAACAGACAGGTTTTGTATCCCTTTCTTATTGGGTGTTGTAAAATGTGTGCATGGCTTTTTGTTGTTGTTGCTCAGTAATTGGTAGAGGAGAAAAGATGAAGGGACCCTCCCTGTCAGCTTTTCTAACCAGTCTTTTCAGAGGTACATAGCTGGGGAGTAAAATCTGGCCTTAACCTATTGGCAAGACCCTGTCCTTTGTAATGTTCACCGCTGTCCTCGGTGCCAGGAGCTAGGTAGTTGTAGTCTAGTAGTAATTCACCATGGTTTATTACAAGCCAGTGATGTCATTCTATCGTGCACTCTTGTCAAGCCATTTATGTGACTTTAATAAGCATAGTAACCTTGCTGACTGCACCCGAGGTCTATCAGTGATTTATATATTGCATGATGTCTTCTGTTTGAGTTTGACATGTAGAATCACTTTTGATTTCATGGCAATTGACAGTCCTAATGGCTCAGCTAATTTGAAACTAACAACTTTGCTGTGTAAAAGGAAAAATGGTGTTGTGTTCAGTAAATGTTTGAAAAAAAGTATCTTGAACTTTGTGTCTTTATTGTTCAATGTGAGATCTTTTGTTGAGTTTCTTCTAGAAGGGATGTTGAAGTTATATGTGTGTGTGTGGGGAAATCCTATATTAAAGAAAAGCTCAAATAGTAAAGCCAAGCTCTCCCTGTGTCCCATTTGGACTCTGTAGAGCCAGTCATTAAAAAACATCTTTTGAGTAGCTTCCTGTAAGTTTTCTGTGTGTGTGTGTGTGTGTGTGTGTGTGTGTGTGTGTGTGTGTGTAATTTCTTTTCAATTGAAAATGCAGATGGACTTACGTTTATTTAATATATTAAGCATGTTTTCATTTCCATATATATACATTTAAAAAACACAACTTAATAGCATTTACTCCAGTATATGGTCTTAAAGTTTGTTTATCCAGATTTTATTGGTGGGCATTTAGGTTTTCAATTTTCTAAGTAATGTGATAGAGAATACTCATGACTTACAGCCACGTAAGCTCATTGCTAGCATTGGATCTTCTGCTTTAAGTGTCTAAATGTATTTACAGTTCTGGCAGATTGTTAAATTGCCCACCATCTCCCCTGTTCCTATATTGACAGACACTAGGTATTACCCCATTTAGTTTTTGCCAGGGTGACTAATGAGGAACAGTTTCATTTGGTTTTTATGTGTGCTCCTTTAACACAGCCTTTCCCTTGTGTTTGGGCTGTGGCCATTTAGTGTTTGTTAGAAAGTCTGAACTTTACATTTTAAAAGTACATTTATTTTACATGCTTGTGTGCATTTGAGTGTGTGTGGTGTAGATTTTAACTGACTTTCAGAAGTCAGTAATCTCTTTCTGCCATGTGAGGGTTGAGCTCAGGTCATCAAGTTTGGAGGCAAGTATCCTTATCCACTGAATTAGTCCAAAATTTACAGTTTTATTTTGCCAAATTTACCTTTGTTTTTTTTTTTTTTTTTTTTTTTTTTTTTGGAAAAAGGTAAACGAATTCTGGGTTTTGTATCCTGCCTGTCAGGCTGTCGTCATTCTACGATCAGAACATTTTTTTTTTAAATTTGTATTTTCTCTGTTTGAACTACACAAGCTTTTATGACTTTTCTTTCCTCCTTCCTCCTTTTTTAAATTTAAACTTTTAAGAGACCTTAAAATTTTTATGTGTATGTGCCTGGGTGAATTATATGTACTATATTCATATGGTGCCCAAGGAAGCCAGAAGAGGGTGGTGGATCCCCTGGGACTGGAGTTCCAGGTGGTTGTGAGTCATCCAGTGTGGGTGCTGGGAGTCACACCTAGGCTCTCTGCAAGAACAGTAAGCATTCTTGACTGCAGAGCCATCTCTCCAGCTCTTTGACTTAAATTTTTGATCTACCAGGAATTTACGAAAGTATTCTGCTGATCAAGGAAATATTTTCCATAGAAAGTAAATTCCTGTAAAATAGTTGGGTCTTTTCACTTCCTCTTCTGCTGTGCTGATCTGGAAGCACAGGCAGCTCTTAGGACTGTTGACTTCTTCCTACTGTGGCCGTGCAGGAGGTACTTATGCACAAGCCTCAGGTTTTGTAAATTGGGGCAGTAATATTACCTAACTTGTACTGGAGTGATCCAATGAGACAGTTAAAATGCCTGGCAGATAAATGACAAGTGTTTTTAGATAGGATAGTGTCTCTTCATTTCTTCTGTGTGTGTGAGGGATGAACTGCCTTTTCATTGTTGTATGCTTATTTTTCCACATGAACATCAGTGTCGTGTTAAAATTTAAACTTCCACATTGACTTACTCTGTCAGTGTGTGCTCCTAGGCATATGTGTCATGCTGTGTGTGGAATCAGGAACTTGCAATAGGAGTTGTTTCTCTTTACCATGTGAGCTTCAGGGATCCAACTCAGGTTGGCAGGCTTGCTAGCTGGCACCTTTCTTTACCTGTTGAGCCAAATATATCAATGGCCCCTTAGAAGATTATTTTGTTGGGGCTGGAGAGAAGGCTCTGATAACAGCTTAAGAGCATTTGCTATTCTTGCATAGCCCCTGTGTGGTTCCTAGTACTCATGTGGTGGTTCACAAGCCTTAGTACCTTTATTTTCAGATGATCCAAAGCCTGACTTCTGAGGTCACCAGGCATGCCTGTGGTACACATACATACACACAGGCAAACCACTCATACACTTACGATAAAAAATACATCTTTAAGAAAGGATCATTTCGTTTAGCACTGAGTTAGTGGTCATTTAGAAAGTTGGGTTTGTAATTCTAAGCTTCCCGTCCATAACTCTGTTGCGGAGTCTCATGGAGACCCAGTAGTTGGTCTCAAACTCAGTATGTAGTGAGGATGGCCTGGAGCTTTCACTCTTCCCTCCACCTCCCAAGTGCTAGGGTGATAAGTAGATATATGACACCACACCTGGTCAGTTCCTGTGTTGCTATGCATCAAATCCAAATCTTCCTCCATGTTAGGCAAGCACCTGACTAACTGAGCCACATCTCCAGCTCGGTTTTTATTTTATTTTTATGTTGTTCATTTTTAATTGTGCCTATGCATGTGGACATGTGTACGTTGTGTATGTGCCCATGGACTCCCGAAGAGTGTCAGATCCTCTGGATCTGGTGTTACAGGTGCTTGTGAGTGCCTAGTGTGGGTTCTGGGAACCAAACTCCAGTCCTCCGCAAGAGCAGCAAGTGCTCTTAACCTCTGAGCCATCTCTGTGGTGCTCCTCAGCTGTACTTGAGATAGGGCCTCTTACATAGCCCAGGCTAGCCTAGAACTGTAGTAAGAGTTCCCACAGAGTTTTGCAGCTGGTTTGATTCTGAGCACCTGGGCTTTGATCTGCCTTTTGTGACCGCTACCTTTGGTGTCTACTACCTTCTGTTTGAAGTATGCATATCTTATCTGAGTTTCCTAAAGGTTCAAAGCCCATGCACAACTTGGTTACAGAAGAACTCAGAAAACCGAGAGGTTCTGTGGCTGAGAATTGCTTTGGCATTTGTCTCTTTGGGGAGCTTTAGATAAGAGGTTTTGGTATGTGGAAACTGACTTGCTAAGGTGTACATTGTGTAACAATAAAAAAGCCTTTTGTAAAGCTTCAGCCAGTTCACCAGCAGCTGAGTCCCTGGGGCTACAAAGGCTAAAATTCATCCTAGAGTGACTCTTCCACTGACCTGTGTGAACCAAACACCTGACACGACCTAGAACTCTTCATCCTGCCTCTGTCTTCTGAGAACTGGGATTGTGGATGCATGCCACCATACCTGGCACAATTATGAGCCCCCACCCAAAGAAAGATCCATCTCTTTAGTTGAGTCATAAAAATGTCTTTATGTACTGAGGTTTTAAAAACTTGCTTTTTAAGTTTTTACTTTTTCAGGACCAGGTGAACCAGGGTCTCATGCTGTAAGCAAGGTTACCACTGAGTTATATATTCCCAGCCTTCTTTTTTCTTTTATTTGAATGACCTTACTAGGTTGCCCAGGTAATCCTTAAACTTGGGTTCCTCTTGCCGAAAGAGTAGCTGAAATAGCAGGTCTATGCCATTAAGCCCAGTTTCTTGTTCTTTTCTTTCTTTCTTTCTTTCTTTCTTTCTTTCTTTCTTTCTTTCTTTCTTTCTTTTTAAAGAATTTATTTATTATGTATACAACATTCTGCTTCCATGTATATCTGCACACCAGAAGAGGGCACCAGGTCTCATAACGGATGGTTGTGAGCCACCATGTGGTTGCTGGGAATTGAACTCAGGACCTCTGGAAGAGCAGTCAGTGCTCTTAACCTCTGAGCCATCTTTCCAGCCCCAAATTAGGCATAGTGGGTTTTTGTTTGTTTGTGTTTTGTTTTTTTTTGTTTTTTTGAGACAGGGTTTTTCTGTGTAGCTTTGGAGCCTATCCTGGCAGTCGCTTTGGAGACCAGGCTGGCCTCGAACTCACAGAGATCTGCCTGCCTCCCGAGTGCTGGGATTAAAGGCATGTGCCACCAATGCCTCCTTTTCTTTTCTTTTCTTTTCTTTTCTTTTCTTTTCTTTTCTTTTCTTTTCCCTCCCTCCCTCCCTCCCTCCCTCCCCCCCTCTCCCTTCCAAGCCTAACAAGCATATTCCATTTATTATATAATTATATATACACACTTCTAACTGTTAATATTTTAGAGGACCAGATTTAGATTTGGGGTGGCTACCCTAACCTATAGAGGTCTGAAAAGATTACTTAGTGCAACCCTTTCATTTCATGATTGAGGATTCAGGCCCAGACACTTTTTATCCCTAGTTACAACTGTCAGGGTGGGAAGCTTGGCCCATGGTGCCGTACTTGCACTGACACTGGCTGTGGATGCCCCGATGCTTTCTGTGGGGCTGCTGCGGGTTTGCACTGTGCCCCTGGCCTGAAGAATCCAGGTGGCTGCTCCTGAAGACCACAATCATACACAACACCCAGGTCATAAAGTCTCCACTTGGGGACGGGGTTAAGATAGAGTTGGGCTCTCCAGTCTGTCTGTGTTTGTTAAATTTTGGTGTGTTCATACACCAGAGCAGATACGGGCTTTTCTCCTATATCAGGACCCACTAACTGCAGATGGTACCTTTGTGAGGGAGAGAGACCTGGCTATCCCTTATTTGGTAGATGAAATTGGCAGTGACTCATGCCAGGAAGGGGCACGATGAAGTCAGCTGTTTGTGTCATACACTGGCATCTTGGAACTTGAAGCCAGGGGACTGACTCAACTCCAGTGTCTTATTCTTGGAGAATATTGAGTGATTGTCTTCCTTGTGCTGACCTCTCGGGAGGGAGAGGTCTTTACCTTCTCAGCTGCACTCCCATGTTGCCTCTCTATAGCCTCTCTCCATGTGTCCTGCTTGTACTTGGCCCCTCCCAAGAACCACCACCTTTCTTAGCACAAGTAATGCCCACTGTATGTACCAGAAGGACAACTCGTAGGGCTTTTATAGACCATTGTGTCCCCAAGTTAGGTTTGGAGAGAAAGCTGAATGCCACAAGGGCAGGTTGTGTAGGAAACAGACACTGAATCAGGGAATAAATGCTGACT